TTCCAGCGTCGGTGTCGTATGCATTTTAGATCTTCGCGTGCTCTTTGCACACGCCGCCCGAGCTTTGCTGTGTGACTGACTAGAGGTGTTGACGGGTGTTGGAGCTTTAAGAAGCCTGAGACTTTGGAATTGGGCGACATGAGGTTCTCTGCAGGTCCACGCTCCCACATGGCTATGCTACGTGTCTGCTCCAGCATTGCACCCAACAAAGTTGGTACGCCGCCACCGGCGGCAACTGTGCTCCCGACCTGCTTTGCTGCCTCTATGGCACAGCCGGCTACCGATGTCGCATGCAACTAGAAAGCTAGAGTCACTCAATGCAGTATCCGTGGCATGATGTAACTGTAATATCCTTGGTTCACACTAGCCTGTTTCGTGGCTTTCAGTCGGCCGTCGCTTAGATTAGCACGGCAGCTGTTCAGCTTCGAGACCTGCCAGCTCTGCGTGTCTCCACATGGAGGGATTTGCCATTCCGGCCCTGGTTTCTGCTGTCGCTTTTGCGGCAACGAGCTCCGGTCTTTTGCACCCTCCGGCCTCGGTTGCCCTGCCATTCATTGCCTGCACTTCCCGTGATTTCACTGCTGTTGGAGGCCTGGCTGCCCTGTGGCTCTGCTTGCGCGTGTTCCTGCAGGGCGATCTCACGCTCCATTTCCTCAAGGTCTCGCGCACTTTGCACCAGCCACGGCCAGAATATGCCGGGTTTGAGAAGCACGAGGACTGCCGGTTTGGATGCGGAGCATCGCAACAAGGTAGCAACACAATGTGTGTAGGCTCATTCTTTCAAGGCCGGGTTGTGGCAGAGCTGTAGATTCTGTAGATCCGTAGTTTTCTTGTTCCGAAAGGTTTGGCTGTCTCTCTCACCTTGGTGATGTGGTTTGTACCAGGCAAGCGCGAGACTCTTCCGTGTTCCACCTGGCTCACATCATCGATGCTGGCGGCTAGCGGCTAGCATCGGGTTACACCAGTGTACATGCCCATTCTAGCCTGCCCCGATGCGCATTGAAGGTATGCAAGCATTGAAGCAAAGTATCATGGAGGTTTTCAATGCATCATCCTTTCCGTGTAGCAGGCGCATGGCACGGCGCTAGGCCTGTGCTAGCAGCATACAGGTGGCCACAGATCCCAGCTATGCGGCATGTGCACTGGGAAAGTTAGCATGACCTTGCCACTTCGGCAGATGTGCAAATCTTTCAGAGCAAGCTCCAGATGCGCAATTCTTGCTGACGCAGACGGGCGGAGCACGACCTGGATCGGGACGCAGGCGCCTGTCGCTCGTGCTGCGCATGCTGTGGACATTGCGTGCAATTCATGTGCAATCGCCGCTCATGGGCACTGCACACACACCAGGGAGTCGCTGTGCAGATCGGCACGGGGAGTTCTGTGAAACACAGCTGCTAACCTTTCGAACAGTGTAAGAGACTCCGTGCCAGCGTTTTGAGTGTCCGCTCGAGGCCCATACCCCGTCATGTATCAAAGAGATGCAAGATAGAAGCAGCGGCATTTACACTCGGTATACTCGTCGGAGAGTGCAGCTCTGATTTGTTAGGCGAAAGGCAGAGGCAATGTTCAATCTGTGTGTTGTGCTGGCAACATGCCCGTGCACTTGGGGCTTAAGCAATGCGCTCTCCCTCCTGTGCCGACAGGCTCTTTGCAGGCATTTCAGGGATCGCCCGAATCCCTTTCGCCGGCACTTTTCGATGACACGTACCGGATTTTCTGGATGCATAGTCATTCAGAGCCGAGCGTGAAAGGGCTTGTTCCTCTTGAGCTGCTGCGACAGAAGCTGCTTTAGACCCCGTGACCAGAGATTCAGGTCCATGTCGCCGCACAGGTCTCTCAAAGGAAGCGGACTGCAAGCTTGCTGATGATCATGACGTATGCTTTTCTTGTTAAGGGAAGTTGAAAGTGGCTTTTGCTGCAGTATCAAGAACGTGGTTCGAGCCATCCCGAACACACCGATGAAGTTGCTTTTTGTCCCCATGTTTCTGGGACAGATCTCCAGCATCGTTTTTTCTCGGGCACTGCTGAGCCGGTGAGACTAGCTTGACGAGGACCTCCCCTTCACGACGGGGCTGCCTTTCTCTTACTGGCTTTGCTTGTGGCGATGGCCCGGTCGCAACGGCCGATCTACAACTCGCGTGTGCTGCGTCGACGGCAGCTGTACCTGCACCCTGACAGCTGACAGCTCACACGAGCTACAGCACAGCTGGGGCATGTGGCCGAATGCAACAGCCCACTGTCAGCCTATCAGCTAAAGCGGAGGAAGCACATAAGTGCCAGTTTGACACGCCACGGCGATGGGCATCGGTTTGCATCTCAGGGCGCGATTCGTTTCAGCCGCCCTGCCCTAGGCGACCTGTCGGAAGATGCTCCATGAGCTCCCCTGCTGTGCCACTTTCATCTCTCAACTTTTGCCCCGGAAGCTGTCGGAGGAGTAGTTTCCAGATGCACTTGCCCTTTCCATCTCGAACGGAGAGAACCATGGCACGACCTGCTTCTGAAAAGGTGGGGAATCAAGTGATACGTGACAAGCTAAGGCTTGGGCTGCCGGAGCACCCGATAGTCGACGTGTTCGCTTACTTGTGCGGCACAGCCAAAAAGGTAGCGCCAGCAGGACGTTGACTTTGAGTCGAGCAATGGTATCTGGTATTTGCAACCTAGCGTATTTGCTTACACATGTCGGTCCCTCTTCATACACGTAGCCACCTTCGTGTAGATGACAGCTGAGACGGTGTGGTGCAATCAAGTATGGAGGACTGATGCATTTTGCGATACCTACTAGACTTCCCAAGGCGGTGATTGTGCCGTTTGGATCCCGGTAGCTCGCCATACATTGAGGCTCGCAGCAATGTTCCAAATGCTCCATGGACTCGAGGCAAATCGAGTCTCGACGATAGGACACGTGAGAGATCGTGAGAGTCATGCAGACATGCACATGCGACGTGGTCTAAGTTTGGCTGCGAAGAGTTCCAAGCCCAGGATTGACTAGTCTATATCTGAGGTTTAGGGCCTGCTACTACTACACTCCCACAACAATGCTTGTACCATACTTGGTCCTAGCCCGTTTATACATCACTGTGCTGGCTCGCATTTTCCAACTGTCAGACCGTCATGCGAAGCGACAGGGCAACGGGACCGCGGGTTGGGTGTAGTATTCGGCAGATGGCATGGGTGTGGAGTGGACAGGGAACAATCAAAGGAGCCATTAATAAAGTCGCCCCCTACATTTCTGAGGCCCTACAGTAGGGTTAGGACCTGGAACCACCGAACTGTGAAACATAGACCCAACATTTCTTGCTTTAGTGGTCTTCGAAGCTTGGGAACGCTCGAATTACAAAACGAGCCATCCAGCCAAATAAGACATGACGCCGAAATGTTAGCTAGTTTTCATTTCTTAGCTAGAAGATGCTGCAAGGCACTTTAAAATGTCGGCTTGTTAGTGTTATCCAGCTTCGTAGCCCCATATACACAGTTCTTCTCCAACTATTATATATAGGCATGTATGTATGTGTGTGTTATATACACACATATATTATCCATAATATCATATATTCAGGTAGATGGCCTCAAAGGCCCAAATTCTCATGTAGTACATACTAGGACCCTATGTTACCGTGCCTGTAAAGGAACCCGTTGCAGACAAAGTGTACTTCGACGGATCCTCCAAGTGATACGTAAGGGTCCGATCCATGAGGTCCGGGGATGTGGCGCGGAGTTGTAGAACTTCGACAACCAGGCGTCCTGCTCCATGCAACTTTACAGACTCGGATATTTAGCCACATTCCCTGCATCGTAGGATCCTCCAAGTGATAAGGTTCGTCACTTCAATGTATCACTTTAATTTTACTTAAACCTCCTTCCGGTTTAGGGTTTTGGGGTTCTCAATTCACTTACGTAGACCCCTAGCGGGAGCACTTAAGTAAATTGACACTGTGAGCCCC